AAAAATATGATTTTCTTGTTAAAATTGCAATCTTATATAATTTTTTTCATCTTAATTCTACATTTTAAGTTGCAAATCTACGAAAGGCACAAATTCTGTGGCAGGTTAATATCTTGAATATCTTTGTTGCCAAGGTGATTATTTTTTGGTTATGAAAGCTATTTATTGATTCATGGTCATGATATTTTAGGGAAATAAAATATCAATGGCCAACTTCGCTTTTCTTTTTCATGGTTGACCAGTAGTGCTTCATTATTTTTCTCTAACTATTTATTTATTTATTTATTTATTTATTTATTTGTTCGTATAATGATTTTGTTTTGCTCCTTAATTCAAATCGATTCAAGGTCTCATTGCTCCTCATTCTTATAAGTGTGCATCATTTTTTTGCTCTTCAATCCTATTTTTTGGTTCATGTATTGCTGGTTTATGGGATTATTGTGGATTTTTGAGTTTTGATGAAAAATTTGATAATTGACTGTTGGTGAATTATCAACTTCTTGTTTGGTTGTGATATTTTCTTCTAATTTAGTTTTCTATTTGTTACAAGTTATATATCATTTGTTGCAACTTCATACTCCTGAAATTTGTTTATTAGCCTTTATGAAAAAAAGAGGTAAAAACTAAAAAATGTTTTACTCATCTCTCATGTTTCCACGTGCTGAAATGGATAAAAAATTAACCTATTTTTTGTTAAGGGTACTGTTTCGGTAAGGTTGCAACTTTAAAAAATCCAATTAAATTGCACCTTAAAATTTTATCATAACATTTAATTTTGTTGCAAAAAATTCTTAGTATTATCTTAAAATATATTTTCATACGTAATTAAAAAAATTTAAATTCCAAAAATAGTTAAAATGAAGTAGATCTATAAATATCTAAAAATCTTGAAAATGGACAGTCTAGATAATGTGTTGCAAAATGCACTATTTTCGAGACTAAAAAACTTTTTTTTTTCCATATTATTCATACATCTCGATGTCGAGATGATCGATTAGAATGTTTTTTCAACATTAAAACAACATTTTTGATAGATTTTTGAGGTGCATATGTGATTCTACATTTTAAGATTGCAACCTCATATAAACTTTTCCCTTTTTTTAAATATGCATCTGAATTCTAAACTTTAAAGTTGCCATCTTATATAAATCTTTTTTTCATGTTAAAACCCAACTCAAAAGGTTACTAAGTAAATGAGGTTTGGCCATTTGAAAATTGATTTGGCCATATTTTTTTAAAATATGCTATTTAGCAATTTGAAGCAGCACTTAACACCTTGACCCACACCCTGCATTTGATAACCAAGTTATTGAGTAAATGAAGTGCTTTCTCTTACTACCTTGACTCACAACCCTTCGAAAAACTGGGAACATTATCTTATAAAAAATATATGCTCTCAAACCCAATTCTAAACCGCGTTAAAGAGTTTTCCAGCATTAAAACAACTTTTTTCAATATCAACATTAGAACAGTATCAGAGCATATATTGTTGCATCATCCATAGTTTACTTTTTCTTTTATTATTGTCTTCTATGGCCCATAAAGAAATACATAAAAAACTTTGTTGCAAACATTTTAATTTTAAAAATGGAATTTTGTTTGAACATCTTTTATTTGTTTATTTTTTTTGTTTTTTTACTTGTATGCTTAATTACCTTGAGTTGCATTATGCAAAGAGGGATGTATCAATTTGTAATGCTTTATTTCGTTTTGTGGTCATCGAAAATACAAAAAGCACCTTGCTTGGGTAAAATATTGAGGCAAAAAAGTCTCAAATAAATATTTTTTTAATGAGTTTTTATGTTTAGGAAAATTTACAAGAAAATAATAAGATGAGGGGAGATATGAAGTGGTAGTACAACACAAAAGTGAATGATAAAAGAAGAGTTCGATGTAATTTTTGTAACAAGAAAATGGGTGGTGGTATTTATCGCCTAAAAAAGAACACCTTGCTTGGATAAAAGATAATGTCACCGGTTGTAAATAAGTACTACGGGTAGTAAAACAACAAATGTTAAAATTAATTACGGATGAAAAAGGAAAAAAAGTGATGAGAGAAAGGGATGCGAAGGAGGAAGTGAGGGGATAAGAAAGTCCAATAGATGAGGATGAAGACCAAGGAGCAAAGTTCGAGACGCAAATGGAACGAACTAGGATTGCCAGCCTCCAAGAACTGAATTATAGACAAATGGAAATTCAAGAGATGTATGGGGGAAAGGATGGTACATCCAGTAGCCGTTGGCCGCAACAACCTGCAGTACCGGGTAAGGGAGGATACATGCCTTCATTGCTTAAGTACACATTTAGTAGATTGAGACGTAGTTTCTCTAGTCGCCCATCCTTTTATAGTCAGTCATCTACTACTCAACGACATGAACCAATAAATGTTCCACCAATGACCCACGAACCCTTTGGACTTGATCCCCACACGCCACAATATCATAAAAAAATAAATATAATTTCCGTCAGCAGGTATATTAATAGAAATTGCGAGAAAGATGATTAACATGTTCTGGTATGCTAATGCGCTGCCATTTAATCTTGCAAGCTCGACTTCTACCCACAAATGATAGCTTATGTACCTGAGGCAGGGCTGGGTGGTAGAGGTCCAACTACAAAGGCTCTTGCAAAGCCATGTTTAAAAGCTGCTGTTCATGATGTCGATAAGCATATTGCACAGTTCAAGGTCTGTTGATCAGGTACAAGAGTGACCATCATGAAAGACTGTTGGAAAGACAAATCCCATAGGCATCTTGTCAATATTTTAATAGATTGCCTTAGGGGCATTGTTTACCATTTTAGTATTGACATATCAAGAAAGAAACATACTGAAAGACTGATATGCACACACGTGGACAAAATTGTAGATGAGGTTGGACCTGAAAATACTGCCTCAGTAGTGACTAATAATGCTGCGAACTACAGGAAAGTATGTGGTTAGGTGCCTCGATCTCACCTTCCCGGATCTAGGTAATCGGGTGACACGTGTCTCGGGTTCGGAGCCCGGGACCTAAGATCGCTCTCTCGATAACCGTGTTTAAGAACAAGGGCATATATCCAACTAATGAGGAATTTGGATCGTGAGGCGGGACATACCTCACGTGAGTCCGTGACACACTCGGGCTGGCTCACGTGTGCGCCCTTTTAGATCATGTTGGAAAGCCCCCCTGACTTATGATCGGTTTAGAATCGCCTCTCTTGACCTGTTTCTCCTTTCCTGCAAACACACACACACACATGTAAGACGTCCCCAACAAGTGGATCTGGGGACTCAGACTTGTCAAAGATAAAATAAAATAAAATGGAGTGAAATGAAAAGTAAAGTGGAATGAGATGAAAAAAATGAAAGAGATGAATTGAAATAAAATGAGATTAGAAGATGGAGTTAGGATTAAAATGGAATGAAGTGAAGTAAAATAAATAAAATAAAACGAGGTCATAGAAATAAAATAAGAGAGGTGAGTAAAATAAAATGAAATAAATAAAGAAAATAAAATAAAATAAAGAAGATAAAGATAAATTAAAATAAAATAAATAGAGTAAATGAAATAAGGTAAAGGGAGTAAAAGAAAATAGCATAAAATAAACTAAGGTGACAATGAGTCAAACAATAATAATAATAAGTTAATTGGTCATGGGAAGGGCAAGGCTTGGGTTATTAGATTATTTGGGTAAGAGAGAGAGAGAGCGAGAGAGAGAGAGAGAGAGAGAGAGTTGGTTATTAGGTATGAATGGAAGAGGGTAAGGAAACTAGTAATAAAAAAGAGGAAGTACTCTTAGTTAAGTGAGAGGATTTGACGTTGGGTTTTGAGAGGATGTGAGGTACATATAAAAAAACGTGTTGTCTTAAGAGAGTGAGAGAAGATTGTGTATTGGGTACTTGTTGAGGGGGGTTTGGATGAAGAATTGAATGGGAATGAGAAAACGCAACTAACGAAAACTTCCAGACGGAAAAAAAAAAGACGAAAGGTGGGAATGGATTTCGTTTGTGGCTTTTTTTCGTCTTGTGGGTTTTCTAGTGAGAGAAAGTGGAAAATGGCAAAGGGCGGAAAGCATGAGACAATGGAAGAAGCGAAGGTGGAGGGGAAGAACGTAGTGGGATGGAGATGAAGGTGGACGCAGCAGGGTGGAGGAGGTGACAGGAGCGGAGAAGAGAGAGGGGCGAAAAGAGTGGCAGCAATGAGTTGCAGCAGGGTGGAGGCAAGTGAGCGGCTAAGATGGGGGTGAAGAAGATGGGGAGAGATGGTTCTCATCCTGGTCGCGGGCGGGTGCCAGAGAGAAGGGACAATGGAGAGAAAGGCTCGCTGCAGAGGTTGCTACTTGGTTCAAGTGGGTGAAGAGAGGGACAAAAGAGATAGGGTTGCAGGCAGCAGAGCATAAGAAACTGTTAGGACCCGGCCAAGGAGGTGGACAGCAGAGTGGTTGAGGAAGAAAAGTCGAGAGGTGCTGATGGTGGTTGCTGATTGAAGACTGTGGATGAGAGAAGGGAGAAAAGTGTGGAAGGCAGGAAGTGTGGAGATTGAGAGGTGCGAGAGTTGTTGGGAAGGTTGCTGATGGGTACGCATGAGATTGTGGTCGTGGGTAAAAAAATGCGATTGTGAGATAGGGAAGCTGCTACTGGTAGTAGGGAATTAGGGAGAGTTGGCTGAGATTACAGCTGGTGGAGGAAGAAAGGGCTGAGGTTTGGGTTGCTGAGCGGGGCTGCAAAGAAGAAGAAAGAGAGGGCAGCAAAGGTGGCCAACAGCGGAGGAAGAGGAGGCGAAGATGGGCAGGTTGGTTGCTGCAACAAGGTGGCTGAGGTTGATCGCAGGTGAGCGAAGATGGAAGCCGAGAAAGAGAGGGGTGATCAGCTGCTGGTCAGGGGTGGTGAGATGTGGCTTATGTGGGGAGTTAGAGAGAGAAAGTAGTGACAGAGGTGGTGTGCGGCAATGGTGTGGAGAGGGGCACACCGCGATGAGGTGATAGGGAAGATTGTGCGCACGAGACGGCGCTGGGGTATGCTATGAGCACGGTGACAGGCAAGAGGTTCGCGCCGCGATAGGTAGACGTTCGCGCGGGGTTAGAGAAGAGGGATTTGGGGTCTGGTGGTCTTACGGGACCATGGGACGTGAGTGAGGGAAGCACCACGAGGGTACACTGAAGAGAGGTTGCTGCAAGGTGTATGGGAAAAAAAACGAGAGAAGAGAAGGTGGACGCGAGGGACTACCAGAGAAAAGAGGAGGTGGTTGACCCGAGAGTCCACATGGAGAAAATGGTCACGCAGGGGTAAATGGAAATAGAAAGAGCATGGGGGACCACGAGAAGGAAGGCAAGGAAAAAAACAAAGAAAGAGTGAAGCACAGACGGGATAGGCTTACGCCGTGTGTTAAAGATGAGAGAGAAAAAGAAGAGACAGAAAGAGAGACTAAGTTTAGGTGTATCGACCCAAAGTTTTCTCTCTCCTTGCTCTTTTTCGCAAAATGCGACGCAAAAATAGGCAAAATAAAATTTTTATTCAGTCTATAGGTATGCGTACAATGATGGTATGTTGTACATGTAGTGTTGTGCACAAACATGAATGAATGATCAAAATTAAATTTAATTGCTGAAAATTAAAATTTAATTGAATTAAAAGAAATTAAAAAATAAAGTGCAAAATGACATATTTACTTATTCCTAACAATTTGTAGAATTCTAAAAGAGTCTCTGTATTGCCTTAGAACGTGTATGATTTTTTATGGATGATCCGAGATCGTTATGATGCTCGATTGATCGAAAGATTGATGTTTTTTTGTAGAGCTCGACATGACGATCGATTTAATACTAATAAAAATATAAATTAAATTATAAATATAATTGACACTCTTATTCATGAATTAATCCATATCATACTTTTGCACAAAAGCAAACATACGATGATAAGTTATAAGGGATCAGCAAAGGATTACAAATACAAATCGTGGTTGGTTCATTAGGCATGAAAGAATAATGACAAACAACATAAGAACAGTATGTTAGGGAAATTGACAGTGATGTATAATAATATAGACAGATGTTATGTGGTCAAGTGAGCATGAACACAAAAAACTTAAAAAGCTCACATATGCACACTTTGTCACTACATGATTGGGAGTGGCTAACATTCTAAATTAGGTTATCAACTCAAAATTATACAGGGAACGAAACCTTTAAACCAAAACCATGCTCCTTCGCATGCAGCACCAGAGATGGCCTGTTCTCATCTTGGGATTAGACTAATCTCAATAAGTATAACAAAATCTAACCATTTTAGTTTTCCCGAATTAGCTCAATACAGAAAAGTAACAAACCTCTGTTGGGTTAGATCTTAGCAAAAGATCCATAAGTGAGGCTTGGGGCGACATCAGAAACATCTTATTTTATTGTGTATAATAATTTGACAAGAGATGGTTTTCTAAAACATTTCAAAGGTCTTTTAAAATTTTGAACACCTTCTTGAAAGGTAGTGATACAAAAGAGCAGTCAGCAACATATTTCGAATTGAAGAGTTTAATGGTTGAATAGCAATGAATATGGGGACGAAGTACAAATAACTCTACTGGAAACATTGAAACATGATGGAGTAACAGTTGAATAACTCAGTATTCAAAATTCCGTTACATTTTTTCTCCAGCGAACCAAGTTTTAGAGGCATATATAGAGAAGCCATGTGCAATGAAAAATGCCAGAACAATTTAAGGTGGGATCAAAGTTTAAGATTATACAATGGTGTGCATAAAAATTAATAAGAAGTATAATGCACTGGATGGTGGATGCAACAACTTTGATGTTAAGAGTACTTGTGCAATAATAGTACTAGGAACGGTGGCTCCGAGGAAAAATATTATACTGTATTCACACAAAATAAAACAATAGCAATAGTTAAACGATTATAAGACTTCACTAAAATGCATAATAACGCAACAACGAAGGCAGAACTTTTACTAATCAGATAACACAATAAAGGCACACTGTTTACAAAGAATTATTTGTCATGAAATAAATGGCCAACAAACCCTGAAACTTCAAAAGAAAATCATACAACCGTCTTTCTTCAAATATTCAAATATATGACAACATTATATTATACAAATTATTTCAAACATATCCTAAAGTAGTATCAAGATTTATCCAACAATTGGGGAACAATTCTGTAAGTACATTACATTTCAGGGCACCACACACACCTGACAAGCTCGCCAATGAGAATATGCACGGAACAAAATCCAAAAGAAAGGTATGTTGGGTAAGGGGAGAACTTAAAATCAGTTAGAAGCACCAAGAAAGTTATTACACATTGTGATCACATTGTGATCATGAAAAAATAAATGCAAAACGGTAAATACAATCTCGCAAGTACTAATAAACAATATTCTGATTTGCTTAAAAAAGCTGATTCATGAACATCATGTTATGTCAGAGCAGAAATTTCTAGCAGAATAAAAGCTTGTCTTAGAAAGGTATTGTTAGAGCTAGATGGTATTCAGATTATATTCTGGTCAAAATTTGTTATAGAGTTAAAAAATAAAAGACAAACTTTTTCCTATTCAAACAGCTTCCTTGTCTAACGAGGAGCTAAATGTCAGTTTAATTAAGGAGCATTCAAAAAATACTATAGTGTGTCCACTTCCAACATGAGGTGTTTTTCATCGAACTCCTTATCTATGTAACCAAAAATCCTGGGATAAAGACATCACGTGGATCAAGATCCTTAAATGTCATCAGGTACATTAATTGAAACATAAAAGCAAGAGAAATGCTTTCCCTGCAAGAATGAAACATTTTCCTTGGAATATCAAGAAATTGTAAAAAATACTTATGTCATACACTTCGATAACAACTTAGTTTTGCACATTTCATTTATACATTAGCAAATTCATATAGGAAATTTCATTGTTGTCTTAATCATTTGTTTGCTTAGCGCAACAATGTGTGGCCAACATAATTTAAATTTTGTGCTGCCATGCTGGACCATTACACCAGAATTGGTTATTTGAGGCTTTCTCAAGATATTCAAAGGCATCACCTTCACCATGAAACTTCACAAGCAATCTGCCACAAATAGCTGATTCATTTCTATTCTGAGTCTTGTACTCCCTACAAAAAGATCAATCCGTTAAAGCCATCACTCTAAGGGCCTGAGCAGATTTCAAGATTTATGAAAGCCCTGGGTTTTTTACTTTGATATTTTAATAGTTTCTCCAGTTCCTACCATGTGTTTCTCAAAGGACCCAGATGGCAAATGAATCTAAACATCCAATATATATGGACTTGATCTCACAAGCACAAGATTAAGTTGACATGGTGTGCTTCATTTCAATTTCATGTATGACTGGCATCATGAACTTCATGCATACAAGTTCGCACTCAACAAGTGATGCATAGACAGGTGTTGACCAGTCATGCAGCTTCTTCACATATATTCCACCCACACAGCATCAATAGTCATCTTCAAGTATACGCACACAAGAGACTCTTGCATGCAAGAAATTTCTCTTGCATTCACAACAAAAGTGAGCACATTGTCAGATATGTTATCACAAACCTAGTCCATATCTCGACCAGAGCCAGTGTATGGATAAATGAACACAGAGAACTACACTATGGATTCTCTCAAAAAATAAAATAAAAAAGAAATACACTATGAAAGTATCAGAAACCCGTCGTGCACTATGTTGAACAACTACATTGAATGACAGGCAGCATAAACAGAAGTGCTGAAATATGATTACAACTACTTGCTGAAAAAAAGTACATATGAAATTTAGTACAATCCAATGTAATTATTGCCTTTTCATATGAGGAATTACTGCACTGAAAGGAAAGGGGCAACAACTCATCAACAAGGCTCAGAGTCAGCAAGATTGGAACTAAACTCCAGACTCATATTACAAAGAGCGCAACCACGATTTTTCATTATATCAAGCAGAATGTAATCACAGATTGAAATAGATACATATTCCACTAAGTTAAGTTAATCATCCATTTTCTAATGCATAAAATTATGGACCATAATTTGACAAAATATAATGCATATGCCAAAGCACTGGGAAAATCTAGACAGGAACTCTTAAGACCATTACGTAACCAATGAACTTGAGGACTCCCCCTCATTGATCTGAGGTCAAGCAAACTGGTGGCAAAGAGCCTAATGTGCAATCCCACTGCCACCCCCAATGATGGTAGACTGAACCAATAGATCTCCAAGGATATGCCATTTCTAATGCTGGAATCCAATTCCTACAGAACCATAGTTCCCCATACCAGGCAGGGTTCAGGAGGCCAGTTAAAGGAATGAAATGGGACATGTAGCAACTAAGAATATAGTCACGAGTTACAAAGGTAATACAAGTGAAATAGTAGTAGAAAGACTAGTTAACCACAGGCTGCTGACTTTCGAATTAATGTCTCAAAAGCATCTGCCTTCACTGAAGTAAAGGTTGTACAATTTAGAAGAGGGAAGTCATGTAACCATCATTAAGCATTTCCTAAGACAAAGCAAAAAAATGCACTAGCTATTGGCTCTGCATGGAGACTTCATGAAACAGTACAAACAGCTATGATGCAAAGACACAGCGGTGAACAAGACTTCACCATCAATTTGCGATTTTATGTTTGGTTTTTTTTAGGCTGAAAACTTAAATTTTTTTTAGGGTGTCAGTTTTTATTTATTTTTAAATTGTCCGACTAGGGTACTATAGCAATTTTAAAGGATCAGTGCATCATTAGCAGTCAATCAAAATCGTTGCATGCAAAACCTAAAGTGTGCAGAGCACAGGCAATTCTATATTATAGACAACAAGCATAAGAGATCAGGTCATATGATGCAGAAAGGAAGCTCAAGGAACATATTCTACAGACTTCTAATCCAGCCATTAGATGAAGTCATGCATGAGAAGAGTGAATTTAACGGGTAATTATTAAGCATTCTTCTAACAAAGATAGTAATTCATCATCAAACATTTATGATATTTATAAATTATGAATCATTTGTAACAGTGAGAGTACCTCCTACAAACTCACAGCTAAAGCCCCTGTAAATGGAAGCAAAGACATCAAACCATAGAAGAATCTCCTGTGATAAATGGATCCCCAGAAAATAGTGGAGCACCTCTTTCATTAAAATGCAGTTCACCCAAACCACCTACTAAAAAATATCAGCAACATAAAGAGAAAATCAGCCAGTTAATATTATAAGCTTTGAGAGAACTTAATATGAATGATGGAAATGTCCCATATGTAGCTCTTTGATTCAAAATGAGACTCTATAAAGGCATGGCAATAAAGATTTTCTAAAAAAAGTAACAACATGCATGAATCAAATACACACGTAACAAAGAGCATGGAGAAGTATTCAAACAAAAGTAGACGAAGCATTAGGCACTATCTTTTTAAGTGATGGCATTCATTTCATAACTTAAGCAATGAACACAGTTTCATAAAGTATGAAACATAGAAAAACAAAAGGACACAGACACCCCACAGCTGAGCTTGGACATGTTCACGCTTGGCTTGCACGGTGGAAGATGCTTGAGGTTGACTCAGAGATTGAACTACCCAGCTTGAGCTTGGATTGATTAGGGGCCGGAAGCTTGAGCTTCGTTCAGCTCGTCTCCTTAAGTGAGCCCATGAAAAGCCAACTCAAGTCCTAAACAAGCCAGTAATCAAGCAACAAGCCAAGTCAACCGATAAACAAGCCAAGCATAAGCCATTCTTCTGGGCAACATCTGTTTTTAAAATTTGCATTTGTAAATATGATCTCAATTAATTACATACAATATAAAAAACAAGCTCAACCCGTGCTCAAGGTACAGTTCCTCAACTTCAGCTTGGCTTGATTAATAAACTAGCCATCCAGATTGGCTTGGTTTGGCCAGGCTTGTCAAGCTACAGAATATTGTTCAAGCTTGGTTCATTACAAGCCAAGCTGAGCCAACTCGCAAGCTAGCTTGGCTTGTTGACACCCCTAAAATTCCACAAAATGTGAATGAACAGTAGAGAAGGACGTGAAACTGCATAAACTTTGTAAAATGGAAATATTTGAAATAAATTCTACAAAAGGATTTCATATATATATATATATATATATATATATGGAAAAAGATAACCTATAGCCAAAATGTAGGAAGGGAGCTCAACGCTCATTGTGGTTACACCGTCCCTCTTGATGATGAAAAAAATGCCTAACATTGTCAGGCACAGGTCGTAAATGCCCCGAAACCGAAATTTTTCGTTCAAAATTTCGATCATGTTGGTTACACACACTCTCTCTCTCTTCGTTCAAAAACAAAACCGTAAACCACCCAAAGTTCTCGCTCAAAATTTCGCTCAAACAGGTTACACTCTCACTCTCCATTCAAAAACAAAACCGAACGTCAAACATCTCTCTCTCTTCCACTCAAACCAAGTAACCCAATTCTGTCTCTCTTTACAACTGTCATCAAACCCCTCTCCCGTCAAAGCCAGCAGAGCTCGGAGATCCTACAAGGGCCAAGACCAGCTGCTCCCTGTGACAAATCAGGTACGCTTCCTCATCTTTTGCCCTCCAATCTCTCCTACTCTCTCTATCTCTATATAAGGAAGCTCTCTCTATCTTGTTTTTCTTTAGGGCATCTCTATCTCTTTTTCTTTCCCTATGTCATTTTTTTTTTTTGCATCTCTGTTTCTTCATCTCTCTCCATAGCTCTTGTTTTGGGGCATCTCTGTCTAAGTATCACTCTCCCTCTATATCTCCTTTTTTTTTAGGTCATCTCTGTCTGAGTATCACTCTCTATCTGTCTCATTTATTTGGGGCATCTCTGTCTCTCTATCATACTCTCAATCTTGGTTGTCTTTGGGGGCATCTGTCTCTCCATTTCTCTCTCTCTCTCTGACATCTCTGTCTAGGCATCACTCTCTCTCTATATCTCAATTTTTTTGGGGCATCTCTGTCTTGGCATCACTCTCTCCATCTCATTTATTTGGGGCATCTCTGTTTTTCTATTTCTCTCTATCTTAGTTTTTTTTTTTTCCTTGAGGGGGGCATGGGGCGGGCGGCAGGGCACTTGTTTCTCCATCTCCCTCTCTTTCTAGTTTTTTTTTTCCTCTCTCTCTTTTTGCATCTCTTTTTAGGCATCACTTTCTTTATATCTTCGTTTTTTTTTTTTTTTTCATCTTTGTCTCGGAATCTCTCTATCTCTTTTTCTAGGGCATCTTGAAAGCATCTTCAATCAGTTGTTTCATCATATTCTGGTATGAATCTCATGTTATTCTTCAGATTCTCACCAGTTTAATTTTACAGCTAATATTTAACAGTTGCCAATTAAATAAGTTTGTGGTTTCTTAAAAGTATCTTGAATCAGTTGTTATATCATATGGTTTTTTTTTTTTTTTTGATAAAAGTTTTATCGTATGGGGATTTGAGAGAGAAAGATCAGTTTCATGGTAATTTTGTGTGGCCATGCGTGATTATTCTGTTGTTTTCTATTGTGTTCAAAATTACAGCATTATGTTGTGTTACATTTTTACAAGCTATAGTCGGGAGTGAATTGTGTGAAATAGTATAGCGATGTATGTATTTTGGTTTACAACTGTAATAGCATAGTGTTTTATAGTCAACTGCTAACATAGACTACAGTTCATGTTCACCGTGTTGGAATCCATTAAAAGAACATGGTGGAAAAGCCATATTTGAGATAATTATATATTTCGGCTAATGGGATTCATTTTTTTGAGACAAAAAAATGAATTACATAGACACAACTTTGTCCTTTTTTCTAAATATCGATGATCGTGGCACCAACATTTTTTCAACGTAGTGCCGATTTTATGGTGCAAGACACTAGTAACTTGGATGGGAGACAAGATCGATTGTTTATAAATGAAGGGGCAACGCTGCCCTCGCAACAAGTGTGCAATTGAGGTTATAAGTGGCATGTCTTTCGATAATGAAAATGAGCTATTACCTAAAGTACGCCAAGCTTGTGAGGTTTGGCATAAATAAAAGAGGTACATTTATAAAAGACATGAAAGATTTGGGCGAGTGTTTAAGTGTTTAAAGCAAGTATTCCATCATTATAAATATGATGGTAGTCAAAACCCTCGTCCCCAAACGAGGTGTGGTTATCTAGCAAACTTAGGCCCTAAGAGGGATGACAAACAAAGATGGGTAGTTGTTAAATTTGCGAAAGAGCGTAATTATGCTCTCACATCACCATCTAAAACTAGGTTCATGCGCTTCCATTGGAAGATTCCCGACTCTGTGAAAAAGGTTAGCAATACCATAGGATCTTTGATGGTTAAGACAAGACTTATAATGGACTACTTTTATGAGGAGGCAGGAGGAGCAGAAAATGTATCGTTCATTGCTAAAGACATTGAAAATCACCTACATAGCCAAATAAGGAAATGATGTATATATAATTGTGGGATGGTTGCATTCGAAGAAATATTCAAATCCTATTATTTTTAAAAAGCTGCTCGATGAATTATAAATTCTTATTGGTATTGTTTGAGTAGAATCTAGTTGGATAATATCATATCAATTCTTCCATGACTCGGTAACATTTGATACCACATACCTACAAACGCATTTAGCATACCTTTTGAGCCAATCCTTGGAGCCAACCATTATAGTAATACTATATTTTTTGGATGTGCCCTTATTTTTTATGAGACCATTGAAACATTTATTTGGTTATTTGAAAATTGATTGGAAGCAATGAGAGGAAAACAACCAAGTACAATTATCATGATCAAGATTTGGCCATAATTGCCACAATTACGAAGTTCTTTTCTGAGAGCAGTAATCATTTTTGTAAGTGGTACAATGGACTAATTAATGCCAAAAGATACTAGCCAATGAATTCAATGTCACACCACCTGCCGTTTGTTAGTCAAATGAGGCCCCCCCACCTGTCATTACTCGGTCATATGATGCCCCCCCACTTGGCATTAGTCAGTCAAATGATGGCCCCCCACTTAGCCATCACAAAAAGATGTACCCCCCATTATATGCCACTTACAAAAATGATGATTACTCTTAGGGAAGACCTTAACTACGGCAGTTATGGCCAACTCTTGATCAATTACTATTGCACATGGCTGCTTTTTCCCATTGCCTCTAACCAATTTTCAAATAACCAAGTATATGTATCGATGGTCTCATAAAAAATAAAGCTACATTCAAGGAAAATAGTATTAATGTGCTGGTTGACTCCAAGGACCGACCTAAAAGGCATGCTAAATGCGTTTTTTTGGTATGTGGTATCAAATGTCTACGTCATAGAAGAATTGATACGATATTATTGAACTAGATTATATCCAAAGAACACCAATAAGCCTGCCTAATTCATCGAGCCGCTCTCTAAAAACAAAGTAGGATTCAAATCTTTCTTCGAATGCAATCATCCCATAACTATATGTGCATCATTTCCTTTTAATTTCCTCATTTGACTATGTAGGTGGTTTTCAAAGTCTTTAGCATTAAACGGCACATTTTCAACTCCTCTAGCTTCCTTGTAAAGGTAATCCATCATAACCAACAAGGGCTCCGTAGTATCGATAACCTTTTTCAAAGAGTCGAAAATCTTCCTATGGAAGCCCATGAACCTAGTTTTAGATGGTGATGTGACAGCACGGTTATGCTATGTCTCAAACTTAACAACTACACATCTTTGTTTGTCATACTTCTTAAAGCGTAATTTTGCCAAACAACCACACCTTGTTTGAGAATGACGGTCTTGACTACCCTCATATATATGATGAGGGTATAATTGCCTCGAACACTCAATCACTCACCCAAATCTTTTACCGTCTTTTATAAATGTACCCCTTTATTTATGTCAAACCCCACAAGCTTGACGTACTAGTAATTCAACTCATCTTCATTATCAAATGACATACGACTTACAGGCTCAATAAGCGCACATCTTGCGAGTGCTACCCTCTCATCCATAGACAATAAATCTTGTCCCCCAACCAAGTTATTAGTGTCTTACACCATAGAGTCGGCACCACTCTTCTAAAAATTTTTTGGTAATTTTTGGTGCCATAGTCATCGATATTTAGGGAAAAGGACATAGTTGTGTCCATATAATCCATTTCTTTGTCCCAAAAAATAAATCCCATCAACAAAAATATATAATTATCTCACTTAAGGAAACAAGCTGAGCCAAGCTCAAGCTTTCCACCCTAATGAACCCAAGCCCAAACTTGGTAGTTCAAGCCCTAGTCAACCTCAAGCATCTTCCACCATATTTGAAGATCAACAACTCACCATAAGCTGCAATGATGTCGGATTCTTTAAATAGAATAAAGCTCAAAATTACTAAGTTATAACCATTGATGGAAAAACCGAGCGGTCTAACCGGTAACCGCCCAGTTAGATAGGAACTAGCCACTGGCCGGTTCCGGTTTGGGGCGGTTTTGATGATCGTCCGATATTTAGAAATAAAAAAATCAAAAAAATGTATATAAATTCTCAAAAATAAGGAATTTGGTTTGTAATGCATTTTGAAATATTCTTTACATTATGGTAAAGATTAAAATTGTTTTGGTCATTAATACTCGCTTTTATATTTTCCCATCTTTTTCATAAAATTTTAAAAATACCCTTAGGCACAAATCATTCATTAAATCCATTTTTTTCATTAATTTTCAACTTCATTTGAATGTATTTTGTTTTAATCATTCTTTATAGGGAAAATTTTAGCCGAGGCTCTAAACAATGAAATTGGAGCCTACCACATAAATTTCACTAGAAGAGGTTGTTTTGATGCCCAAATATCTTCAAATTCATCATCTCAGCAACAAGATATGTGGACATGATAAAAAAGTGGATTTCAAGTTTTGGAAATAGTGTATTTTGTAGCACATTTTTGGACCGTCAATTTTCAAGATTTTCAAGTTCTCATAGATCTATTAATCTACACTTATTTTGAAGCTTTAAACTTTATAAATAAAGATGAAAATATGTTTTAAGGCTATAAGAAAATTTTTCAGTATTGAAACCACGTTTCTCGACACTATTTGAAGGTAAGCTCCAATTTGATTGTTTAGAGCTTAGCTCTATACAAACCTCACCCTTTATATGCTTTATATATTTTAGCAGATAACTTTTTTT